ATTGACTTGGCTACATAATAACTTCTCCCCCCCAATACTACAGATCGAGAGGTGGAACAGTTTTTTTTTTTTTTCCCAAAGTACCTGTAGGCTAGTGCCTTGCTAACATATGATATTTTGTCGTTGACCCAGTAGAGAACTACAGGGGAAGTATTGTAAAATGTAAGTTACCTATACAGACAGATGGTTTTGCATGCATGCGAAACGAAATGAAAAAGCACCAGCACCAGCAGCAGCAGCCCGCCGCAGCAGCAGCAGCAAGCACGAGCCGCGCGAGAGATAAACTATGCCTTGTGGTGGCGGTTGGTTGAAGACGGACAAGGAATACACTCGAACACACACTCGCGCAGGAGAACTCGGGGAGAGGCCTCGTAAGCTTGGCCTTCAGTTCTGCAACCACATTCCGAAGGCAAGGAAGAAGGCACACAAGTCAACAGCGAGAGCATGCTTTATCGTGCCAGATAAAGACAGGTTTTATCATGCCTCCTATCGTGCCTGTAGTCACGAAAACCCTCTCAAAAACGCGAAGGCACGGGGGCGGGTGTCTCTTTTTGACACTTTGTCACTCCGCCACAGCCTGCCAGCACAACAGCAGCAACAACAGCAAGCAGTACAGCAGTACCAACATCACCACCATGGACCCAGAGGACATCGCTCAGTTCTGGGAGGCCAAAGCGGCTGAGTTGTTGTTGTTTGTTGTTTTTCTTCACATTAAACTCGTGTCAGTTGCTAATCCCAAAATCTAGCAAAGACTCGGCCCGTGGTCACAAAAATGCTAAAGCCATCAGAAGATCTAAAGAACACGCACACTATTAGCAAGAAGAAAAGGGTTGTACACAAGCCCGAGGAGGTACACCTACAAAATCCCTGCAGCACGTTTGCGTGCTCACAACTGAACTACACGCCCACACACTACAATTCGACTACAGCAGGCGGCATCACCCCCCTTGTCCCGCACTTCACCAAAATGAATGTTTGTCGACTACAGCGTACTGCTGTCTGAAGTGCTGTCTGTACAAAATAACACCATGGTGTATGGTGCACAACAAGCTCGGGGCATGCAGCTGCTGTCTGAAGTGCTGTCAGAATGGACCCGTGGACATACAATGAAGAAGAACAACCAACCAAACAAAGCCATCATTGCAATTGACAATCGCCCGAATCTATCCAGATCATCTGTGTTAGACACAGCAGTGTAAACATCGGCACTGACTAGGAATCGTTCCACATTGAAGGGGTCTTCCACGATGCAGGTACACAATTAAGGCACCCGGGTTATCCGCGCCATCTCTGCCGCGTCTCTCTACAAAACTAGTGACGTCATTACACACACCTAACACCTATCTATATTCAGGAAAAAAAAAACGGAAAATAATTGACAACACAAGAGATGTTTGTCCGTGCGACACGGTTCAATGCCGTCCGCATGCTCCGGTTCCGCTGCTGCTCCGGTGCCGCTGCTCCGGTGCCGCTTCTCCGGTGTCGCTGTGGCCAGTCCTAGCACGACCAAATTCGACCCGCTCCGCTTCGTACACGCTCTCGTTGCTGTCCTTCCCAGTCGGTTCCTCGCTTTCTCCCTCGTTGCACTTAGGGTTCTTGGTCTGAAAATTCTCGCGCCGAAGGGTCAACCAGCCCAGTCAGCTCGTCACCACCTGTCCCCTCCTCATTTGATGGCAAAACCAGGTTACTGAGACAGTACAGCTCCCTCTAGCAAGCATAGGGCCGTGTACATAGTGCCCGTCCACCTTTCTGATGGCGTCTGCCTCCGCGCACAAAGATGAGATGGGCATTGCTGCCTGCACCGATGGCCTCGAGGCCCGCGCATCTGCACCTTTGTACCTGACGCACCAGTGCCGACCCAACTCCACCACTACGCACGCCTTGCGGCGGGTGCGCCGTAGCAAGAAGGTATCGGTCCCTTGAGGATGAGTCTAGCCCTGCTCGCTAGAAAGACCCCCCCCCTCGCTTTGGGTCATGCCTAAGCAAAACCTTGCCGAGGCAGCGAGGGGA